CCTCTTTGGAGAAAGAGGGCTTTAATGAATAGTAAGAGATCAGACGATCGCATTTTGGTTTTATTAATTTTTCCCGGGTGACTTTATCGTGTTCAGAGGACATTCAGGGCTAACCAGGGCTGCCTCGGGAACCAGTGAGAAGGAGAGGCAGGAAATGTGGGGATTTTCTTATGCAGCAAGAAAATTATTTACTGAAAATAAAAATTTCCAGGTTTATTTTAGGTGGCACACACTTTGTAACTTATTAATTTTTTAAATGGCCAAAGTAATTATTTTTTGTGTGGCTGACGCAGGCACTTGGGCAGCACGGAATGTTTCCCTTTATTATAAAGCTGCTGTTCAAAGTGGCTGATCACATTGTAAATATCGCAGCGGGGGCACGCAGGATTCAAGTCAAACAGGTTTCTGTTTTGCTGTAGGACGGGGAGTGGGTGTTCACCACCCATGTGAAGGATTTATCAGGGAATCCGGAGAGAGGCCTCCTCTCTGTTGGGACTTTAAAGCCTTTTCACATCCTGCTTCCCTTCTCATTGTGGGGAGCCACAGGTCAGGTATTGCCTGGGGCAGCCTTACAAATTGGCACCTGCCTTTGTGCCTTTGACCCGAAGGAAGTGGTGAGGAGAGGAGGCCGGGGAAATTTAAAAAGTCTGTGCCTTTTTCTCCAACCTTCTGCAGAGTTACTAGCTTTCCTTGGGAACTGGGATCCCATGCCTGGGGAGGGAGAGGCTTGGGGAAGCCCCTATTCAGGCCAGGGATGTGTGCCTGGAGGAGCCTGAGCAGGTGCTGGGCTGTGAGGGATGCAGCAGGGGAGAGGCAGGGAAAAAGGTCTCCTCCTCCCCCCTGCCCTTCACATGTAGTATATGGCAGCGGGCACTTCACAGGGACTAACACCGTCACCACCTCCTTTACTCCTCAACCCCTGTTCCCTCCCAACCCCCGGAAGAAGGCCGCCTTTAGTATGTGTGACAAATAAGGATGGTTTAGAGCTCGATTTCTCCCGGCGCTCGTTTCCTGATACCCAGTGATAGAATAGAGGGGTGTGTCATGGGTTCTACATGCTTCCATCAGTAGACATTTGAGTTTTTAAATGGTGGTGGTGGTTGTTGTCTTTTTATAGTATATTTGTATTGCTTTCAGAGAGGAAGGAAGAGAGATAGAAACATCAGTGATGAGAGAGAATCATTGATTGGCTGCCTCCTACATGCCCTCTATTAGGGAGTGAGCCTGCATCCCTGGTCTGGTTCATAGGTCAGCGCTCAACCACTGAGCTGCTCCGGTCTGGCAAGGTTTTAAATGTCTTAACTGGCTGGCAAGGCTGTCCTGCTTCTGCAGGGCAGAGATGGAGGCTGCTGCTCACGTTATCTTTCTTCCTTGGCTTTGCCTTTTCACATTTTCAGAAACCTAAGACCTCTTACATAGTTTAACATTTGCTCCAGTATGCACAAACTACTTGATTTTTATTATGCACTGTCGCATCGCCGGTAGGAAAAATGCAGCATAGTCCTGTCCATTTTTCCTTAGATTTGTTCTTTTTGTTTGTTCATTTGTGTTTTGATTAAGCCATTTTTCTTCTCAGTCATCTGGGGCTGTTTTCAAACATTTCTTAAAGCACATCACACCCATTATGAGGCGCTTATTTTCATGCTGCTACCTGGTTGATTATCCTAATTCCAGCAGAGAGAGCTCCTTCTGGGGAAAACCTACTGCTGCTTCCCATGGCCTTACCCTTCTTGTGTCCCATGGTGTTTCAGATCATGTCTACTCGGGCTTTCTGGCCACAATGAATCCATATCAGTTAAGAAGGGCTGATATCTCTCTCCCTCCCTCCCTCCCTCCCTCCCTCCCTCCCTCTCTCCCTCTCTCCCTCTCTCCCCCTCTCTCTCTCCCTCTCTCTCTCTCTCTCTCTCTCTCTCTCTCTCTCTCTCTCTCTCTCTCTCTCTCTCGTTACCATTCCAGTTCAGAATTCTCCACAACTTCCTCCTCAGCTCTGTTGTATCCACAGCAAATTACATATCTTTGTTTGAAAAACATAAAGCTTAGTTTTGGTCTCTAGTATAGTTTTCCAAGAAATGAGTTCGTTGTCCTTGCAGAAATCTGACAACATAGCCCAAAGCCTCTCATTTCTCTTTTTAGTTGTGGTTTTCTCTGTGTGACTTGGCAAAGCTAACTCAGTGTCACCAGGAACGTGTCTTGGGCCCCACTGACAGCCAAAGATTTTGCCGTTTTCTAAGTTAAATCAGACAGCAGTTCCTGGCCCCTGGTTGCTCACACCCTGAAACAAGCCAGGCTGATCGAGGCAGATGAAAGAGCAAGAAGAAAGCCCGGAACAGCACTGACCAAGTATGGACAGCGTGGAGCCACGTGGAATCCACTCCCTGTCTACCTTCTGGATAAAGGATCCCCAGTGGAAAAGGGTGGCATTTGGGTTTAAATGAATGAAGAACTGGTATTTAAGAGGTTGGTGTTCTCAGCGTAAAAATTGTCCAAGATGATGCAAAGTGATAGGTCCCTTGATTAATCAGATGAATGGGACATTGAGTAGCTTTACCTGAAAGGAATCAAGCCAACCAAGGAGAGGAAAACGGAAAAGGGGCGTCATTACAAAGCTTAGAGAGGATGAGGATACCAGGCCTAATCTGTAGGACAACCAAGACCAAAGATGGTGGAAGTTTTTGAAATAACAAATGGAAAGAAAATTCAGTCATGGTCCCAACTACGGAATGAATGGTGGCTGCTATGGCTGTTGATTGAAATGCTCCAAAATGTGTACAACACTTGTAGCGGTATCTCTAGTGGAAATGAGTGATTTCAGTTTTCAGTACTTTTCTGTATTGTCTATGATAAATACTTAATATTTCATAGTCAGGGGAAAACAAATTTTAAAGGGGGAAATATTTACCAGCAAAACGACATAGCATATGGACTGAGGTTTGGCTCTAAAAATTCAAAGACGTGGGAGGTGCGATTAAAAGTAAAAACAAACGGATTCAGTAAAAAGCAAGGTTTGTAGGAGGAGGAACTGTATCAGCTTAAAAAATTACTCCAGAGTGATTCCTGTAGAAAGTCAGTAACATGGCAGTGCTTCCTACCAAACTGAGGGAGCCAGGCGCGAAGATTTAACTGCTCTTCACTTGACTTGGTTCCTTGGTATCTTATTTGAATATCTCTTGGACAGAGACTAATACAGGTAAACAAATAGCTGACAGAACTTACAGGAAGGTTTGGAGGCAAAATAAGAAAAAGAAAGCGAAACTAGAGAAACAAATGGGTGGTAGTTCTTACCCTTACCCAGTAACTACCTGCATGATCACTTTTTAAAAACTAATCGTAGAGAAAATATTGGATACTATACATGGGCATTGGGGTTATACTATACTTCTTCCTCTTGAAAAGCTGGAGGACAGGGAAAGAGCTTGAGAGTCCTAAGTCTTGGACTTGTCTCTGGCACTGTCTCCAAGGATGTGCCCTGAGCAAGTCAGCAGCATGGGCACTAATAGTTATATAATTGCTAGATTAACTGTCCAGGGTATGGTGGGTGTTGTGGTTTCTCTTCTCACTTAGGCCTTTAACAGTTTGGGGGTAGACCAGATAGAAAGGTGTGGGGTGAATAGCAGAACATGGTGTGTATTCTCCTTTTTTTCAAGAAATAGCTGCTCAAAGGGGACAGAGGCATCTGAATCGCATCCATGAGTGAGTTGGCTGAGAATTAAGCAGCATGACAAGGTCCAGATTCCAAGAATTTGTTCTGGTTGGAAGGATGGGCCAAAGCAGGAGGAAGTTTAATAGGATTAAACATGAAGTGCTACTTACGTTACTTGTTGAAGGTAACTAATTAGGTTACAGGAGACCTGGGTTAATAGCAGTTCCTATGCAGAAGGATGAAGGGTTTTGTTACCCACGAGCTCAGTTTGAGTCAGGAGTGTAATGTGGAGTCAGAAAAGCAAAGCTACAGTAATGAATGTGCAGTGTTAAGGAAGTTTGACAGATTGGAGGCCACCGTCAGCCCCAAATACCCAAGATCCAACATCCTTGGACTTCAGTAAATATCACTGGGCTTAACTGCATCTGGTGAATTTGGATGGAATCACTATTTTCTTTAAGGAATCTCTCAATTTGGTGGAAAGCTTTAGGTTTTACAAATCTTTAAGAGAAATGCTATTAAATCATAAAGTGTTGCAAAAGGGTGACGCCTTTTCCCTTTAGCCTACCTAAACACAATATACATCTTGTGGTTTCCATTAGACGATTAACTGTTTCATCTAACCGGGCATGCATCCATTCTCAAACCCCCCCCCCCCCCCCCGTCACCATTTTGACACCAAACATCATTTGGTGAAGACTTGGTTCTAGTTGTTCATTGTTCTGCAACCAGGTATTAAATGTGTAGGAATTATCGTAAACATTTTAAGGCATTTGTCTCTGTTTCATAAATCCTGCAGGGCAGGGGGTAAGTATACTGAGTAAATTAGGGGATCCATGAGCCCATTGAAAAGGTATATAATTTTTTACACATGTGTAACTTTTTCTGGGAAGGAGTCCAACACTTTCAACAGAGTCTCAAACAATACAAAAAAAAAAAAAAAATAAGCTCCTTCCCCTGCCACCTAATTGTTCTACTTCCTATTTGAACAAAGAAGCGTCTTGGCTGTGGCTGCCCATCTTCTGAGAACAAAACCTCCTTGAAATGCGAGTGACCTGCCATCCGTAGGGAAAGCATGTCACAGACAAAGTCCCAAAATCACTTGAATAGAAATCTTACTATTAGAAAAATCGAGCACTACCCACTTCTTCCTCCATAAAATTAGTTTTACTTTAAGAAAAGGAAATTTAGATTTATTACTTGCAGAATTTGGGTGATACTCCTTTTTCCCTTTTTAACTTGTGAGTACAATTCAGTCTTCTGAGGGAATATTTTGTTCCAAGATAAGTTCCAGAGAAGCTTGATCTTCTCAATGGGACATGTGTTTCATGTAGTTTTTCTTCCTTTTTCCAACCGACAGGGTGCCAAAGCATGCTTTCTGCGGGACATTCCTTTCTCGGCCATCTACTTCCCGTGCTACGCTCACGTGAAGGCTTCCTTTGCAAATGAAGATGGGCAGGTGAGCCCTGGAAGCTTGCTCTTGGCTGGTGCCATCGCTGGTGAGTACCCCTCCGAGAGCTCCGTGCCCACCCACACCACTACACTGGAACTTTGCTTCTAGCTGCTCACCGGGCACACAGGTCATGACTGGCTATATGTTGCTGTGAAGAGCCACTGAAAAGAATGGGAAGAAAATGGGCCTTACTTCTGGCAGATTACACTGTTGGACAAGTTGATCTCTTAACTCCAGAAAAGGCTCATTAAAAATTGGTGCGATTGGTGGTATTACTGGATTCCAGTTCAAGTTCCATTTAGTTTTACTTCATAGCATGAGAAGGAGAACTAAGTCGGAAGTTTAAGAAATGAATTGTGTTTTAGTGGTATCTAAGCACAAGCATGTATGACCAGAGTTGAAGCAATCGTATTATCATTTAGAGCAGTGTTTCCCAAACTTTTGACATATGTGTACCCCTTCTATCATTTTCGTAACGCTGAGTACCCCTTGTACTCATGAGAACATAGAATTAGGCGCAGCTAAGCACGGTGCAGTGAATATCCCCACCAAACTTCCCGTACCCCTGGGGGTACACGTACCACACTTTGGGAAACACTGATTTAGAGAAAAGAAATGTAGTACCGCTTGGTGCTGTTAGACACCTGCTTCCTCCTCACCGTGTAAGATCAGAGGAGCTGGGTGTGTGTGTTAATTGAATCCCAGAGAGAAATGGCTGTCATCTTTTTTCAGGGCTACAGTGAAAATATCAGGAGAAGATAAATAGAGGTGGAGGTTGGTTTCCTCCATCGCCATGTAAATCCCTAGAGGAAATTTGATTATAGCCACAGCAGGGATCAGTGTGTTCTTTGATGCTACTCCTGCTGCAGAGACCCTAAAGGCCGGAACAATCTGGATTAGCTCTCCAGGTGTTGACAAACATTTAATGAGTTAACAAACCCTAAGGCAATCCTGTGATGCCTGGGTCCAAACAGTTTTGATACAGGTGTTGTTCTCATCAGATATGTGGCTTAAGTCTCCTGAGACCAACTCCCGGCTTTGAGAAGTTGCTTGCTGTTTTGTGGGCTCCTTGTCCTGCCTGTAGCCTGGGGAGCCCCTGGAGGAAGGAACCCAGGTAGCTGCTCTTTATTCTTAATTAATTCTTTTTCTTCAAAGGCAGTGATATTGGCATAGGAGGCAGGATTGATCCTTCCTGGCTTCCTCTGGAACCCTGGTGTAAAAGTAGCAATGAGATCTCTCTACCTGTATCAGGAAATCATGATTTCAAGACAAGAATATAAACTACCCACACTTAATCCCATCTTGCCATTGACTCACTGTGTCCTTTAGGTATCATTTACATATATATAAATGGTAATATTTTTTGAGCCAAAGGTTATCATACAGTTTGTTTTAAATGACTGACTTGAAATCAGGTTGAACACCTAATAGGGAGAACTGACCACGTAGTAGTGCATGACCTTGCTCAAGTCATTTTATTTACTTATTTTTATTTTATTTTTAAAAAATACATTTTATTGATTTTTTTACAGAGAGGAAGGGAGAGAGATAGAGAGTTAGAAACATCGATGAGAGAGAATCATCGATCAGCTGCCTCTTGCACACCCCCCACTGGGGATGTGCCCAAGGTACATGCCCTTGACCAGAATCGTACCTGGGACCCTTCAGTCCAAAGGCCCATGCTCTATCCACTTAGCCAAACCAGTCTCTGCAGTCAAGTCATTTTAATCTCCCCTAAGCTTTGGTTTCCTTGGCTATAAATGGAGATAATTACCAACTAGGAGACATGGTTGTGAGGCTCAAGTGAGAGCAACCATGTGCCTAGAATATAACAAATACTCAATAAATGTTAGCCAATTGTTTATTGAATCCAAAAGAGTCTCTATAAATCACTACAGAAATCAATTGTGAAATCAGAAGAATTAAAGCTCAGATCAAAGTCTAAGACTTTGTTTTTTCTTCACACCACAATAATATCCCCTTTAATTCTTCGCTTGCAGAAGATAGCTACTCAGACATGATTTCATCTCTGGGTGGTATTTTCTAAAAACCCATACAACCAAGCTATAGAAATTACTAGTTGATTTTTTTTCTCTTTTAGGTTGTTTTTTTATGTTTATGAAAATAGCATAAAGGTTAAATAAAATATTACCCATTATATAAGCATAACCAATGACGAAAAACTCTGGGGAGGGAGGGCTTGTATGGGAGTGGGGGTGGGTGGGATTGGTAAGGTATGTACACATATAATACCTTCATTAAAAAAAAAATGAGAAAAAAAATAAAAATAAATAAATAAAATAAAACCAAAAAATAATAAAAATAAAAAATAAAATATTACCCATTATTTCATGACACTATAATCACTATTTAACATTTTTGTTAATTTTCTCCCCCTTGAATGGTTTTTAACAGAGTTTTGATAACATTGTGTGTGTGTGTGTGTGTGTGTGTGTGTGTGTGTATATATATGTGTGTGTGTGTGTGTGTGTGTGTGTAGTTTTCACTTAATATCATTTCTGAAGCATTGTTAGCCATCACAGCAAAGAGGTTCATGGCATGGATCATGGTGTCAGACTACCCAGGTTCATATTCCAATTTGTTCACTTAGAATTAGTGGTTTGGAAGACAAGGTACAAAGAAATACCCAATCAGAGCCAAAAAAGCAAAAGAAATTTTAAAATGAAGATAGTTTAGGGACGTTTGGGACAATATGAAGCGTAACAATGTTTACATCATAGGGGTACCACAAGGAGGAGAGAGAGAGCAAGGAATTGAGAAACTATTTGAATGATTGAAAACTTCTCTTAGCTCGTAAAGGAAAAAGACATACAAGACCGTGAAGTACAGAGTCCCCAAAAAAGATGAACCCAAAGAGGCCTACACCAAGACACATGAGAATTAAAATGGCATAGTTTAAAGACGAAGAGGGAATCTTAAAAGCAGCAAGGGAAGTCAGTTAGTTACCTACAGGGGATCTTCCAGAAGACTGTCAGTTGGTTTCTAAGCAGAAACATTTCAATCCAGAAGGGATTGGCATAAAATATTCAAAGTAATGAAAAGTAAGAACACACAACCAAGGCTACTCCAGCCAGCAAAGTTGTGTAAAATTGAAGAAGAAATAAAGAGCTTCCCTGACAAGAAAAAAAAAAAGAAGTTAGTTACTACCAAACCAACATTACAAGAAATGTCAAAGGGTCTTCTTTAACAGAGGAACATAGTTAAAAGATTAAAATAGCAGTAAATATGTATCTATCAATAATCACTTTAAATGTAAGTTGCTTAAATGCTCTAATCAAAAGACATAGGGTACCTGAATGGATAAGAAACCAAGACACACATGTATGCTGTCTACAAGAGAACCACATCACAACAAAAGATACATATGGACTAAAAATAAAAGGATGGAAAACGATACTTCATGCAAATGGAAAAAATAACCTACCTTATTTCTCCGAAAATAAGATAGTGTCTTATATTAATTTTTGCTCCCAAAGATGCGCTAGGTCTTATTTTCAGGGGATGTCTTACTTTTCCATGAAGGAGAATACGGTACACATTTATTGTTAAATAAAAAAAATTTATTACCTGTATACGGTACGGTAGTATGGTAGTTATCAACATAAACCAGACAAACTGTGAATCCTACAGTATCAAGAATTTACTCATTTATTCAATGACAATCATGTCATCATCTTCTGGAACATCATCATAACAATCCAATTCCTGAATTTCCTGGTGAATTTCTTATGACTTCATTTCTTTCAGAATCAGTGGACCAAATCTCTCGTTTAGCCTAGGGGGCCTTATTTTCGGGGGATGCCTTATATTTCACTCAGAAGGAAACCTGTAAGTAGTTCTTATTTTCGGAGGATGTCTTATTTTCGGGGAAACATGGTAGGATAGCAATACTTATATCTGACAAAATAGATTTGAAAACAAAGCCTATGGTAAGAGACAAAGAAGAACGCTACATAATGAGAAAGAGGTAGCAATCCAACAAGAGGATATAGTCCTCATAAACATTTATGCACCCAACATAGGAGCACCTAAATATTTAACTCAAATCCTGATGGACATAAAGGGAAAGATTGATAGTAATAGAGTCAGTAGGGAATTTTGACATTCCATTGACATCATTGGATAGATCTTCCAGGCAGAAAATCAACAAGGAAATGGTGTCCTTAAATGACACACTAAATCAGATGGATTTAATTTATATTTTCAGAATATACATTCTTTTCAAGTGCACATGGAACATTTTCTAGGATAGACTACTTGTTAGGACAGAAAACAAATCTCAGTAAATGTAATAAGACTGAAATCATATCAAGCATCTTCTCTGACCACAATGGTATGAAACTAGAAATAAATTACATTCCATAAAAACACACAAAGACATGGAGGCTAAATAGTATGTTTATAATTGCATCCAAAAAATAAAATGCCTAGGAATAAATTTAATCAAGGATGTAAAAGACCTCTACTCATAAAACTATATGTCACTAAAAAAGGAAATTGAAAACAATACAAATAAGTGGAAGCATTTACCATGTTAATGTTCAATTGTCCATACTTCCCAAAGTAACTTACAGATTCAATACAACTCCTATCAAGATACCAATGGTATATTTCACAGAACTAAAACAAATATTCCAAAATTTTATATGAAATCCCACAAGACATCAAATAGCCACAGCAATATTGAGAAAGAAAAGCATAGTTGGAAGAATCACGCTACCTGAGTTGACTACAAGGCATCGTAATCAAAATAGCATGGTAAGGATAGTCTATTCAATAAATAGTATTGGGAAAATTTGGACAGATACATTCTCACACCATACAAAAAAATAAAGTAGATTAAAGACTTAAGTTTAGACTCTAAACCATAAAAATCCTAGAAGAAATCCTAGGCATTAAAATCTCAGACATTCCTCATAGCAATTTTTCCCTCTGATATATTCTTAGGCAAGAGAAACAAACAACAATAATAGAAAAACAGATGAGACTACATCAAACTGAAAAGTTCTTGCACAGCAAAGGGAA